CTCAGTTTCTTCTTCATCATAGGACGTTACATCTGGAATGGCCAAAGAGATGACTCCTGCCAGGCTATCCTCGAAGGTTTTGAGAATAAAAAATGATGGTCGAAATTACAGACTAATCAATATTACGGTACAAATATAAAGTATCATTTATTCCCATGCAGTGGCTGACAGTTGCTCAGAGAGGAGGTTTTTCCCTGTAAAAGTCAGCAATCTCCCCTGTCAGCCTTTACCAAGAGAACTCTGCCTGTGAAACTTCACCGTGGGACCAAATCCCCAGGGCGTGGCTTGCAACACTTAATGAACACAACATAGAGCCAGTCGGGGAGATGATGTGGATGGGGAAAGCTAGAAACCTGATGTTTTGCGTGCCTGTGAATGGGAGGAATTGGAAACAAGTATTTATTGATTTTTTTCAATATATCAGGGTGTCTACACTTCCAGAATACGCCCCCTCTCCCTAATCAATTATACTCTCCCAAAGTGTATTCAGACCGACGGGTGTATATATCTGTGACCTCTCCCTGTGCCTGCCCTTGAAGCTGTCCCCTCTCTCCAAGACTCACTCCCTTGACTGCTCTTGGGAAAAGAATATCAAGGCTCTGGGGTCAGGCTGACCTGTTCTAAGCCTGACTCAGCTCTCACTAGTCATATGGTCTCTGTCCATCACAGAGCTTTTCTGAATCTTACTTTCCTCCCCATCTGTTACATGGAAACCTGCACAGACATTGCAAGGACAGAGACATCTGAAAAGAGCCTCACTCGGATGGAGGTGCTCTAATGTATATTAGCATCGGGCCCTAGTCCATTGTCACCCCCACAAGAGCTTTGCTTTATACCTTGCTAGAGAGTGGGAATTTTTGAGAGGCCGTGGACTGTGTCCCAGATAGAGCTGTCAGTGCTGACATCAGGCCAGGCCTTGAGATACAGTCTCATGGCCCCTTCCCAGCATGTAGACCTTCTTTCATAGATCACTGTCAGCTTTCTGAAGAACAGGATGACCCTGAGAATCACATGGTCCTCCATGGCATGACCCTGACATTGCTTGGGAAAAACTTTTGGGTTGCTTGCTCTGCAAAATCAGGATGTGGTAAATATGCTTAAAAGTAGTCCTGCATAAAGGGTCGGGGCTGCTCTGGACTCCCTGTGTGGAGAAAGGCAGAGGAGTCACCGGCTTGCTGGCCAGCCAGCCGGCAGGCTAATAAAGGTTCCTTAAATTTTAATTTGGACTCCAGTGCTCATTCACTCACATTCGTTCCACAACAACCTGGCAGGTTTCCCTGCCCCTAGCCTCTCTCCATCCAGGCTTCCCCGCACCTGGAGTCAGAATTCCCAAGTTGGAAGGGACCAGACACAGAATTCCAAAACACCACCTCATCATGCCACTGGCCCCATTCCAAACGTCCCAAGGTCCTCACTGCCCACCAGGTCAGCTGGCAAGACCTGCCACACTGCCTCATCTCTCTCGTCCTTGCCATGTTCCTCTCTGCCCAGGAGCGTGTTCCTGCCATGAACATCTCAAGGTGTTCTCCCTCACTTAGAATCAGTCACTCAGCAGATGGGTAAAACCACCTATCACCCTAAGGAACTTTTTAGAATCTTTGGGAATGCTCTCGACAACCCTGCTCCCAGAGAAGCTAGGGCTTGGGAAGGGCTTGTCTTCATTGTTGATTTCTGCATGAAAGCATGCCTGTGAATGGGGGGCACTGGGAAGGACCATGAGGGCTTTAGGTAAAACATCCCCCCCACCCCAGTTCTTGGTTTGTGCTGCCTGTGCCTGCAGCGCATGAACCCCAATCTCCCACCTCCTCACCACATCTGGCAGGGAAGAGCTGGGAGGAGCTGCAGGAGCCAAGGCTGCTCTTTGTCCGTGAGACAAAGAGAGAGATTGCCACCTATTGATAGATGCGCCACCAGCATTTCTCTGTGGTCTTCAAACAGGGCAACAGGGGTGATAGGCCCTTTGGTTTTTCCATCTAGTTGGTCCTCCTGCTCTCAGTCTTGTCATTCCAGTGTAAGGGAGGCTGGGTGAGGATGTGGCAGCCAAAGTGGTAACAGCAAATCTGAGGGAAAATTGGCTGAGCATCGGCTTTGCACTGTCAAGACGGCCACTCTCAGTTGTGAGGCAGGCTCTCTGCCGCATGTGGAACATGTTGTTTAATCTCACACAGCCCTCACAGAGATCAGTGTTATCCCTGGAGGGCAGCTGAGGAGCAGAAGTGGAGCACAGGGAATCACATCTAACTCTGACGCAGCATTAAGCACTTTCTCCTGACATTTACTAATTATGCAAACCACACCCTTAACCTTAACCCTTCTGGGTATGAAAATAAATGTAAAAGAACTTTTCCTTTAGGTTGGGTAGAGTATGCCACTTTCTAGTTATTTAACCTATAAGGCTCAGACCCCTCATCTATAAATAGGGATGATTATGGTGTCAAACTTAGGGCATTGTCAGAGAGCTTAACTAAGATAATATATAACAAAAATCTCATAGCAGGGTACCAGCTATTTATAAGTGGGAGCTTAATCATCTCTGTCTGTGGGTGTGGGTTAGAATCCCAATTTCTCTCATTTTTCACTTTGGGGTCTTGGGGAAGTTGCTTGACCTTTCTGATCTTTCGTTTTCTCGTCTATAAAATGGGGTTAGTAATATAACGTGTTCTTGCAGGGCTGTTCACAAAGTAAGATGAAATTTTAGGTATGTAAACACTGTGTAAATTTTAATTGTATTATTCAAGTATTAGTCTATATTTTAAATAAAAAGTATCTGTTTTTTTACCTGGATTTTGGAGATCTATTTCTGATGAGTAACTTGGGTTGAATTAACCTATAACTAAAAGCTTTTTTTTTTTTTTTTTTTTTTTTTAGTATTCACTAAAAACAACAACATAAGATTAAAAAAAGGGGGAGGGGGCTCCATAAATGCCACAAGCTATTATTCTGCAGTAAACTCTATAAGCATTAACATGAATAACATTTTACATAGGCGATTCGTTTTACAGTTTGTGATGTACTTCCAAATGTGTTATTTCATTTCATCTTCACAGGGCAGGATTGGTATTCATCCCTATTATAGAGAGGAAAACACCGAGGCTCAAAATATTAAAGTGACTAGTTACAACACAGCTAATAATTGCTAACGGTTGTGGGTGTCTGCCATGGGGCTGTGTGTTGGTGCCCCTTTAAGTGTAGGCATATGTCTGAGCATGCTTTTTATACATTTGTGTGTCTGTACCTCGTGTGACACACACACAGAGGATTGTATGTTAACTAGTTGTTTCCTGAAAGGGAAAGGAGAAAATAGTCTTATCTGAGGTGTTTTTTGTGTGTGTGTGTTTTTGCACTGCTCAGCAATAGCCTTTTCCTCTTCTTATTTAGAGCTGCTTTCTATTCCCAGGCACAGTTTCCAAGAGGACCGCTCTGCCTGGAGAATATGTTTGATTTTATCGCTATTCCTGGCTTAGGAAACAACAGCTAGTCCTCCTAGCCTTCTGAGAATGACTTCTTTTCTTCCTTGCCTGCCAGCTTTATTGAATTCGCCTTAGCAACATCCAAAAAAGAATGGGTGTGGCAACAGCCCGTGAACCAATGAGATGTGAACATGGCGAGTGTTTCCAGACCAATGGGAGCCTCGCGTGACACGCAGGCTGGCTCAGGAGAGAAAGCAATAACCTGAAGTTTGCAAAGCAGCCTCCGGGTGGCAGCAGACTGGCTGTATTGGACACAGCCCCTCAGCTCTCAATATCTACTTTGTTTTTTGCTTTCTGTGACCTATTCTTGGATATAAAACACCAGCTGTTAGAAGTAACAGTCAAGGCCTGTGGTGAGATTGTCTGTGCAGCCTGTCAGGAAGCGTGGCTGGAGGAATCCCATTCTCCTACATTCAACCACCACTACTGCTGGCCTGAGTGGCAAATGAGGTGGGGCTGGCACGAGTGTGTCACTGACAGATGAATAACTACAAACACCCACATTTTCAGAGGCATAGATTGGAACCATTCCCTGCCTTTTCAGTTCTAGTGCTTATGTCTGTACAGGAATATCTGACCAGAAGTGTTTTGAGGCTAGTTCTACTGCTTATCAGGTGGTTTGGCCCTCTTGGTCTTGAAGCCAGAGGCAGATGTGGACAGGGGCTGAATTAGACCAAATAAAATAGCAGCAGATCAACGTTTCAATAGTTTGGCTATTCTTTTGCTTTGAACACTACTCAGTGAGATTTTGGTCTTTCAGATAGCCATATTACTCTCAGATGTTTCCATTTATGCCATAGCTGATTGGGTTCAATGGATGGAGTGTCGGCCTGCAAACTGAAGGTTCCCAGGCTTCACTCCAGTCAAGGGCACATGTCCAGGATGCCAACTTGATCCCCAGTAGGGGCCGTGCAGGGGGCAGCTGATCAATGATTCTCATCATTAATGTTTCTATCTATATTTTCTTCTTTCCTCTCTTTGAAATCAATAAAAATATATTTTTAAAAAAGTTTCCATTTTGGCCTAGTCTATTCTTCTCATCCTTTAGAAATAGACGGCCTCCTATTTCAGAGTGTCTCATTTGATTCTTGCCCTCCATCTCTCCTCTAGCTCCCTGGTGCTTCACATCAATTTTTAAAGACCTCTTGATTTGTATTTCCTCAGAGAGTCACAGAGCATCCTGAGGTCAGGGACTGTCCCTTTAATATCTCCATTCCTTAGTGTAGTGTTGGCATATAATGGATAATATTATATTAACCAATAAATGTTCTTAGAAGAATGGGAGCATGTAAGAAAGGAAGAAGCTCTTGTTCTTTAAGAAATAATCTTAAGGACTCAGAGGTGGCCTGGGCTGGAGAAGTGCTGGCAAGGTTGGTGCTGGCTGCTGGGGACAACTTGTGGCTAATCAGGACCCTTCAACCCATGACTCCAGACCAAGCTGTGGGCTTGAACTATGATCACCACCATCGGTTCATCCCATCATGGGCTCGTTTCAGTGACATGGTGTTCTTTTATGATTTTGTGTTTTAGGAAGAACTAAGGAGCAAATCCAAGATCTGTGCCAATGTGTTTTGCGGGGCCGGCCGGGAATGTGCAGTCACAGAGAAGGGAGAGCCCACCTGCCTCTGCATTGAGGTAAGTGCTGAGGTCAGGAGCCAGAGGACAGTGTGGCTGCCTCGTTGGAGCTGCCAGTCGGCACAGCAGTGCCAACAATGTCATCATCTTTATGAAAGCACACCTGGTCTATCTAAAAAGAGTGGAATTTTCATCGCAGGAGTTAAAAATCAGATATCTGTGAACACAGGGATTTTTTTTTTTAAGTTTAGCTTTATAAGATTTTTAAATTACAAAATGCTTTATGTAAGCCAAATAAGTACAGGTATTTATGAAAACATAAAATTAATCTTCAGCATAACCTTCAATTCCCATTAGTCTGAGTTAACCAGTTTGAGTTAACCCAAAATCCAGGTTAACAGATTGGCATATATTTGTTTCACTTTTTTTTTTTTTTTTTGCCTTTGCTACTATAAACATGTAGAGAGATTTCTTCTATTTTATACAAAAATGGAATCATAACACATAGTTATAGATATGTATATACACAATTTGCGTTTTGCACTCATGCATATATCATGGAAAGCCCTGCAGGTCAGGATGTATAGCTGTAACTCACTTTTTAACAGATGCATGATTTTTCGTGGTATAAAAGCACCAGATTTATCCAATCATTTCCCTATAGATGGACATTTCCCACAAAACAACAACATCCTTGTGCAAATAGCCCTACATGCTGCTGCCTTTATTTCTGTAGGACTGATTTCCACTAGGATATGCAAATTTTTAAAAATAGACTGAAAGCAGGCTTTTCAGGTTTGTTTTGGTTTCGAATGAACCACAAAAAGCAAAGTGAGCTTTCGAGAAATACGTCTTTCATAAGCAGGATTCTGATCAGTTCTCACTCTGCAGGCAAACAACCCTGAATGTGTGCCCTTCCCCCTCTTTCTGTCAAATCAACTCGAGCACCAAGTGCATCCGTCTTTGTACAAATCAATACACCCAGTTTAGTCCCCAGAGGAAGGATCCCGACCCATTGCTCCAGACAGGAAGTCCTCCAGTTTAGAAATTAGGAAAACAGATATGCTGGAGACCTGGCAGGGCCTCGCTGGAGGTGCGCTGGCCTCTGTGTGGTGGCTTACGCCCAGACTTAAGGCTCAGCAGCCCGGCGTCTAGTCTCAGCTCAGCCACATACAATTGTGTGATTTTGAGCAAGCTAGTGCCACAGGATACCATGAAGACAGAGACTGTATGTGGCTTTGCCTAGGGCCCAGCACATGGAAGAACTCAGTAATAAGTATTGGTTAAGTGCAGTTTGTCTTTCTGGCTTTGGCATTCTTGTCTGTAAATTGGAAAGTTGGGGCTACCTCTCAGCACCAGTGTCCTGTGTTTCTTTTCCCTGCATCTGCTCTTCCTTGCTTTGGTGCCTTTACTACGTCTGAGCTGAACTTGCTTCCCCCTCTCTCCTTTCAGAAATCACAAACGTCTTAAGGAACTGAGCTTGCCTGTGACCACGGCACTTTAAATAGCCAAAGTAGGGCCGAGTTGCCAAGTGAACTTTAGTCCACTTCCTTCCTCACAGTGATTCTCTGTAATACTTCACAAAGATCCAGGCATCCCCACCCCCAACCCCCAGCTTCACAACAGGCACTGTAAGATTGGGAGGAAAACAAAATGGCCCCACAGCACAAACAAAGCAAGAGAGCCAAGATTCTTAAGATCCAGCCACAGAAGAATTGAAGAGGTGCGGAGTTTACCTGCCTTTCAGTCTCCACATTTCCAGCTCTCAGCTCTGGCTATTTTGTGTCATAGAATACTGGAAGTTTAAGGGATCTTAGGTCAGCCAAAGACATTGAGTAACTTACTACAAAATGATGAAGTGATGAAAATTCCAAACTCTGACTTCTAATGAAATCCCCTTTTGGTAGGGAGGGGTGTGGCAGAGAGGGGTGTGGCAAGGAGGGATGGATCTGTCTCTTCACTGAATAGCAGAGAGGACCCTGACCCAGGATTGGCACACAGTCATATGGGGCTGCAAGGTGATAAGATGCCTCCAATACTAAATGGGGTGTGGTCACAGATGCAGGGCTGGGGCTCCCACTGCTGAGGCCATCGCGTTGGTGGCGAGTCCTCAGGACATGGCTCTGTGTGCTCGTGTGTGCATGCTCTGTGTGTGTGTTGGCACCCTGGATTGCACCAACACCCAGCTCTGTTTCAGCAATGCAAACCTCACAAGAGGCCTGTGTGTGGCAGCAACGGCAAGACCTACCTCAACCACTGCGAGCTGCATCGGGATGCCTGCCTCACTGGGTCCAAAATCCAGGTGGACTACGATGGACACTGCAAAGGTAAGGCACGCCCTCTCTGAGGCCATGGGGAGCCAAGAAGGCAGAGCAGCATGGCAGGGATACCCGGAGTCCTTTCCACCCTGACACAGCACCCAAAGACGTGGCGACCACCCAGGTTCTTGGAAGCCTAGCCTCTTGGCGCCCACGAGCTTGCTGGGATCCTCCTGGATGGCCCAGATGTCCGCCCAGGGTTTCCTGTATTAGACCCCCAGAAGCTGCCAGCTCTGTCTGCAGCTGAATAGTGGATAGGCAACCACATCAATAATCAATAATAATAATAATTAATAGTAAGGAAGTATTTAAATGAATTCTGTATCTTTTTAAAAGCAGGTAAATTTCACTTTTCCCATGCTTTTAAAATGTGGGTACCTCTCAGCCCTGGTAGTATTGTTTCCTCTTTTTTACCCATACTCAAACCATTACCAAAGGATAAAAGGGAAGGGGTCCCATGCTTGTTGCTAATTAGATATTTGCCCCCTACCTCACTGCTGCCCTGCCTAACCTGGTCTCAGCTTTGAATTTCCCTGAAGAAACAAGAAACTGTTACCCACATGTTGGTCTCCACTCTGTTTCCCTGGTGATTCCATATGAATTCTCAAAGTCCCAGTGACCTCCCCCATCCCTCAATCTGGCAGGACAAGGTGTGCGGAGGGAACTCAGTGGCCCCAAAATGGCAAACAAAGCAGGAAAGAAAAGATCCCCAAACTTGAGTCTTGGAAGAAGGAAAGGAGACAGGACTTAAGACAAAATGATGAAAAGGTTACAAGTGGCCTCTTAATGTGGGGCCATTTTAATCCTAGTAAAATAGAAATTTTATTTTTTCTTGACTTCTTTTGTCTTTTAGAAAAGAAACCTGTAAGTCCATCTGCCAGCCCAGGTGAGTGCCTGTTTTTCCACAGTATGCATCTTTAAAAAAATTTTTTTTAATTAAATTTATTGGGGTGACATTGGTCAACATGGACACACAAGTTTTAGGTATGGGTTTCTATATTACAATATCCATATATTGCACTGTGTGCTCACCAACCAAAGTCAGATCTTCTCCTGCCACCAGGTATTGGGACCTCCTTTGCCTCCAGCACCTACCTCTGGCAACTACCACACTATTGTGTGTTTTTGTTGTTGTTGTTGTTGTTTTTAATATATTTTATTGATTTTTTACAGAGAGTAAGGGAGGGAGATAGAAAACCAGAAATGTCGATGAGAGAGAAACATCAACCAGCTGCCTCCTGCTCACCCCCCACTGGGGATGTGCCCGCAACCAATGCATATGCCCCTGACTGGAATTGAACCTGGGACCTTTCAGTCCGCAGACCGACGCTCTACCACTGAGCCAAACCGGTTTCGGCCACACTATTGTTTGTGTTCAGGAGTTTCAGTTTTATATCCCAGTTATGAGTGAAACCATATGGTCCTTAGCTTTTTCTGAATGACTTATTTCACTCACTTTTTAAAAATTTAACATAATGTTCCCAAGGTCCATCCATGCAGTGTGCATTGTAGGGAGGAAACTTTCTTGATGGAAATTTTGTGTTCTACAATCCCGCTGAAGACCTCCAGAGCTGTGTCAGCCCTGTGACCCACAGCTGGCCGCTCTTCAGCATCACTCAGAAAAGCTGCAAAACTGCATTTTTTGTACGTGTGTTTGTCATTTGAAGCATCGGGTTGGGTCAGAAGGTCGACTGCGTTTTGCATTTTTGCTGAGTAGTGATTGACTGCAAGGACGAGGAAGTCACTTCCTTCAGTGATCTACAAGATATCCTGTTGTCAGGCACGAGCAGAATCAGAGGCACAACTTTTTAAGAAATGGGGGAGGGTAATCTGAAATGCCAGTAGGATTTCTTCTGTGATTTTCTACAAATAAATAGTAAAATTTCATCGTCATTTATATATTCAGACCCCTTTAGCATATATGTTTCCTTAAATCTTTACAATAACCTTGTGGGGTAGGTTTTATTGTAATTACCTTGCAGATGAGGAAATTGAGGCTCAGAGAGGCCAGGTGAATTTCCCTGAATCCCACAGCTATGAAATGGCAGAGTGGGGAGAGGTGCAAGATTTTCATTAACTGGCTCAGTGCCTCTTACACATCCTAACATGTATTATCTTCCAGGAATTCCCTTTGGCCAAGTCTTTCCCTTCCCTGTTCCCCAACTCTCAGCCCCACCTGTTGTCCCCGTGTGGCTTACACAGCTGCCCAGAGCCTGGCTTCAGTGTGGCCCTTGGTTGGCTTCGTTGTGTATAATAAAGTAAAATGCAGGCAGTGCAAAATGTAGATGGAAGTTTTGAGAGACCCAGTTGGTGAGAGAAGGGAAAGTTATACAGAGACAATCAGAAATCTAGCGCCATAAAGAAATGCAATGCTCTCCTTTATTCGTTTATTATTTTACTTTATCTTTGGGCCAAGAGAGCTGTTCTGTTGATGGATTGATTTCCCCCACCCCCTCAGCCTCCTAAAGTTAATGAAAATGTCCTTTATTTTTGCTGCTCTACTTTCCCCCCATCCCCACCTATGCAACATAGGCTTTCTGTTTCAATATTCTTGATCTCTACAAAATTTTTAGAGATGCGAGCTTGAATCCTGGGTTCGACACTTTCCTGTATGTGCCCTGGGTTGACTCCTTCGTAGCATGTGCATGGTCATCCTGTTTCCCTACGTGCAGTGGGACTGCAGAGAGATGGCGCACTCACATAGTGGGTGCTGGGTGACACTGGGGTACTCGCCGTCGGTTGACCTCCCCACTTTCCCGCAGTCGTTTGCTATCAGTCCAACCGCGATGAGCTCCGGCACCGCATCATCCAGTGGCTGGAAGCAGAGATCATTCCAGACGGCTGGTTCTCTAAAGGCAGCAACTACAGTGAAATCCTGGACAAGTACTTCAAGGTAATCCAAAGTTGGGGTCAAAGACTGGTCACCCATGGCCAGACCACGAGGAAATACAAACCAGCAGAGAGTCCTTGAGTGTTTCCTCACCATGGGTCATTCCATGCAGCAGCAATAGTTGCCTTCTGACCAGCTTGATCAGCGGGAGCCCAACAGTACAATCCTTATGATCTAACACACAGTGTTTCCCAAACTTTTGACATATGTGTACCCCTTCTATAATTTTCGTAAAGCTGAGTACCCCTCGTACTCATGAGAATGTAGAATTAGGTGCAGCTAAGCACGGTGCAGTGCATATCCCCACCAAACTCTTCCCATACCCCTGGGGGTACGCGTACCACACTTTGGGAAACACTGAATACGTGTTGCTCTGTTTGTGCAGTTAAACCAACAAAGGTGTTGGTAAGCGTATGTATGAAAACTATGGCTCCATGCCCCCGTCCCGTATGACAGCTTATAGAACTGGCTGTCGACACAAAAATACCTCCTCAGCCTCTTTCCCACCTATTTTGATATTTCTCTAAGTCATTAACTACCCATGGCCCAACTCTCATCTGAGAAGAGTCAATGGATTGGCATTTCCTGGGTCCAGGATCCTTCATGAACTTAGATACTTACTCTCTTAAAGAGACAGATTATTCCCGTTGGGGACAGGAGAGATGCTACTTCAAAAAAGGAAGTGAGAGTAGAAATAGTACTTAGCAATGAGCAAGGCCACCATGTCAAGGAGATCTTTCTGGGAGCTTGTGATAGTTGGAAGAACCAGCTGATGGACAAGAACACAGACGCACATAAATGTAGGTCCCTATCAGAGATAAACAAACTACATGCAAAAGCAAGTGCATGTGCGCACAGCAACACACACCCCACTTACCAAGATGCACACGCCACCCAGAGCATGTCCTACCCATAGACACACACACTCAGTTGCCTACATTCCCACATTCGCACAAAAGCCCCTTCCCTTACAGACACACATCTTGGGGCAGATGCCCTGGAACTCTCATCCCCAGACATTCACGCCCTCATGGGCCTCAGGGCCTCTGTCCCAGAATCTAACCAGGCAGGACTCAGGACACGCGAGGAACTTCTTGCCAGCTCTGCGGTCACCAAATGTGGTCAGCACCAACCCCATCTATGGATTCCTCTTTCTAACTGACATTCTGGAACCTACGTACTGCGTTGGCTTGAAATAGGATCTCTGATCATTTAAGAGTCTGCTTGTGTTATTGTCTTTACATAGCGAGTTCTCTCTTCTGTGGCTGAACAAGCATCTCTCTCTGGATTCCAAGTGTTTGAGAGATCACACGTGGATGCTAAAGCACTGCCCTTCTCACTGTGTCCTCTGTCCCAACCACTCCCACACTGTGGAGCCCTTGGAAGTCCTGTATCTGTCCTTCAGCATCTGCTTTTCGATGGTTATCTGAGACCTGTACTAGTATATGGAATCTTCAAAGGGAGACTCCTTCCCACTAGGCAAACAGCTGCTTGTTTCTAAGCGATCTGATATCTCACAGAGACTGTTTCTGAACCAACAAATCGCCCTTAGCCCAGCGGCATTCCTTATAGAAAAATGAGTGGAAAAGCAAATCTAATCAGAATGCAGAAAAGACCAAAATCAGGCTCTCACCTCAGCTGGGGGATTCAGTCCCTCTTTCTTAGGTGAGAGCGTGAGAAGAGGCTTTCATGGCCGTGCCACACACACAACACGGACTCAGGGTGGCAGACTCCAGGTGGCCAGGCTGAAACTGGATCCAGCCTTCCCATCTCCCTTACCCCAGTATTACATTTCCCATCAGCCCAGCTGCTGTACATGACTGAGTGCCTGGCCAAGCCCATCTCCTTTCTACAACCTCCAAACTTGCAGTAAACCCAACCATGGGCCTCAGAGCACACTTTCCTGCCTTGCACAACCCTATGGTTACAAAGGAGAAAAGGGCTGTTATCTTGAGTGTAGATCTGGGAAATGCTGGTGTAAAGAGGTACTGTGCCTTTGTGACTGGTTGGTTGAACCGAGATACAGTGAATTAGGTAGGTTCTTGGTCCAAGTCTTGACCCGACCTCCCCCTAGGGTTTCAGGATTCCAGGCTGTTTCAGGGCTGGTTTCAAACCTCTGTCTTCCTGTGGCTGCCACATGCAGACCTGGCCTGGAGTAGGCTGGTTAGGTCCTCGTGAGATGAGTGCAGGCAGGTTGGCCCCTCCCTCAGCTTCAGGCATGGACTCTGGTCCCACTGAATGTGCAGGGAGTGCACTCAGCACTGCCCTTGGAAAGCTTCCTGGATTGCCAGGCTCCGGGTGCCCCTAGTTTCCCTCTGGGTCCACAGCCATTGCTGGGCTGTTCCTCTCTCCACAATTAGTCTGTACTCAGGCCCTGATGGGGTTGGGTCTATAAAAGCTTCTCCAGTATGTCCAACATTTGCAGCATTTGGACTCAAGACAGTCCTAGGCTGCTAAGAATGGCACCTGACCAGCCTTACTTTATTTCTCTGTGTTAATTAATAAAGACCTCACAAGGTGAACACTTAGGGAAGGTTCCTCGGGTAAACATATGGTGACTACAGAACATCTGAGATCTCTTCTTAGGAATTAGGACAAGAATGATACTAAACAAGGGCCGTCATAGTTGTCTCATACAATGCTGTCCTACATACCCTGGAGAGGCTTAAGCCTTAGAGTGGAATACATGCAACCGTGACAGTTATGGAAGGACAGTTGGTAGCTTCAAGGACAGTTTGAAGGACAGCCTTTACCTTCCACCTAGAAACCTGGACAGACTTTTCTTCCAGAATTCCTTACACAGTCTGGGAATTCTCCTTGAAGGAAACATGAGGGTGCTGATTACTCCCAGGACAGCAGTATGAGGCAACCTAAGGGAAGAATTTTGAAAGGCAAAATTTTTTCCATTGGAATTTTTTTTGAAAACAAATGTCCAGCTTGGAATTTAAACCAAGCCTTAAAACGGACAATCTCTTCCTGCAGCCTGGGCTTGAGTACAAGGTCTTGGTCTAGCATCTTGACAAAGTGGGGACAATGCCTGAACTCAATACACCCTCACCCTGTGCTCATGGGTTGTCAGCTGGGCCATGAGGACAGCCTGGACAGCTGAGGACCTGTGCTCATGTCCGTAGGGGGGCCCATGCACAGGGCAAGGGTGGGGGACTTTGCACCACCTCTGCCTGCAGGTTCTCAGTGGAAGCCCTTTGCGTCTGACTCCTCCCTGATGAAGGGTACCAGTATGAAAGTTAAGCACTGGGCAAGCCAGGGAAGCTGGAGATCAAGCATTAAGAAATGGTCCTGTGAGCTCTGAGTGCCTTCTGTGTCATTGTTTCCAAGTAGCGTGTTAGAAATGCACTTCCTGCTGAAACCAGTTTGGCTCGGTGGATAGAGCATCAGCCTGTGGACTGAAGGGTCCCAGGTTCGATTCCGGTCAAAGGCATGTACCTTGGTTGCGGGCACATCACCAGTAGGAAGTGTGCAAGAGGCAGCTGATCAATGTTTCTCTCTCATCAATGTTTCTAACTCTCTATCCCTCTCTCTTTCTCTCTGTAAAAAATCAATAAAATATAAATAAATACTCAATAAATAATCAATAAAATAATCAATTAAGGAAGGAAGGAAGGAAGGAAGGAAGGAAGGAAGGAAGGAAGGAAGGAAGGAAGGAAGGAAAAAAGAAAAAATGAAATGCACTTACTGGACTCTGCCACAGAGATTCTGGCTCACAGCGATGCTACCCCAGGTTTGTTAGGGTTTAAGGATGTGGTGGGGTGTCTGACCTGAACTCAGGGCTGCCCTCGAGGCTGTCTGCAGAGTCCCTGAAGCCCCCTGGGCTTTCTGGTTCTGCAGGCCACACTCAGGCTGCCCTCCCAGGCAGGGTCTGGGTTTGAAAGGCCCTCAGTGGCCTCTGCCCAGGCACTTTCACTCTCTCATCCCGAGGCCCAGACGCCTTCTCTGGGTGCCCAGGAGTCTGAGCCTTTGGTGCTGTTGCTCTCTGAGGCTAAGTCAGGGCAGGACTGATTATAACATGCCAAGAATAAGATAAACCAGAGATGGGCCCAGCCCAATGAGGGAATGCTGGAACTGGGTTCTACAAACTGTTTCTGAAAGATCTCTTCATCCCTTTCTAGAATTTTGATAATGGTGACTCTCGCTTGGACTCCAGTGAGTTCCTGAAATTTGTGGAGCAGAATGAAACGGCCATCAACATCACCACCTATGCAGACCAGGAGAACAACAAGCTGCTTAGGTGAGTGGCGTGAGAGCGGCAGGGCGGGGTCTGAGAGAGGAAGGCTGGAAGGGAGAGGGGATTTGAACTCCTTCCTATACAAAGGAGCCACCAGTGTTAATGCGAAGTAAAAGCTAAATAGGGATTCTGTCCAGGTCTAATCTGTGAACATTATGAACTAATGTACTGAGCACCACTAGTATCTGATGAAACAGTTATCGTTTTTGGCTAGAACTTGCAAGAAATAGGAGCATGTAATTTTAAGTAAATGATCAAGGTTGCATCAGAACAAAGTTGTGTCTGAGTGTTATGGGTAATGTTTTAATGGTTAATTTTCTGAAGGAATTACTTTAATGCATTATTTAACTGTAGCTTAGATCTGATTTTTATGATAATCAGTGCTATTTCATGTAGAGAACTCTAATGATTACAAATGTGAGTATGTCCCTCTCCTTTTCTGGTATCATTCCAAAGCAAATTGTAATAAAAATGAATCCCTAGAAACCTCTGGTGTGGTTCCAGTACATTGGTAAGAATTAAGAATAGTGTAAGCACCACTTTGTTCAAAAGAAGTACAAGCATGAAAGCCCAGACTCTAGAAAGATTTCTTAATTGTAGTCCATCGCCTAAGTATATTATTTGAAAAGCCTTCATATTTTTAAAAATATATATTTTATTGATTTTTTTTTACAGAGAGGGATAGAGAGTTAGAAACATCGATGAGAGAGAATCATCCATCAGCTGCCTCCTGCACACCCCCCATTGGGGATGTGCTTGCAACCAAGGCAACATGCTCTTGACCAGAGTCGAACCCAGGACCTTCCAACTTGCAGGCCAACTCTCTATCCACTGAGCCAAACCGGTTTCAGCAAGCCTTCATATTTTGATAAACTAAAATTAGGCAATATTTTACAAGTTTATTCCATCTCAGTGAAGGAGGAATCCTGTCTCCATTTTAAAGATGATAAAACAGGCACAGAAAGGTTGAATAACTTAGCTCAAGGCCATTTGGGCAGTAAGTGATTGAACCAGGGCTCAAATCCAGGCCACAGAAAGAGTAAGAGCTGAGATTCTCGGAAACTTCTGGAAGGCCTTGTTCTAGAATGGTGATGCTTGCTTGAACTCTACATTCTTTCAAATCACACATTGCACTCATATAGTCTACTAGTAGTCCGGTGCATGAAATTAGTGCATGGGGAGGGTATCCCTCAGCCCGGCCTGCATCCTCTCCAATCTGGGACCACTGGGGGAATGTCTGACTGCCAGTTTGGGCTCGATCCCTGTGCTAGTCGAACATCCCTCTCACAATCCAGGATGGTTAGTTCCTAACCGCTCACCAACCTGCCTGCCTGATTGCCTCTAACCACTCTGCCTTCTGGCCTGCTTGCCCCCAACTGCCTGTGCCCACCTGCCAGCCTGCCTGCACCCAGCTGCTCCCCCTTGCCATTATGCTTGCCCCCAATTTGCCATTATGCTTGCGCTGTCTCCCCCTGCCAGCCTGATCATCCCAAACTGCCCCCCCCACTGCTGGCCTGCTCGCCCCTAACTGCCCTCCCCTCCTGGCTTGATTTCCCCTAACCACCCTCTCCTACTGGCTTGATTGCCCCTAACTGCCTTTGCTTCAGTCCCACTACCATGGCTCTGTCTGGAAGGATGTCCAGAAGGTTACCCTGAAGGTCTCCTGGCCTAATTAGCATATTACCCTTTTATTAGTATAGATTTATCTGACTTCTGTTTTGATTTTCCTTATTTGGTCGACTTTACACCATAGGGAAAGGCAATTACTGCTGGAAGGTGTGCAGGTAATGAAACATTTGTCAATCCAAATTGGACAAAACCATGCAGGAAGTTTTAGTTGTCTGGGGAGGAACATTTGAGTGATCCGACATTCGGTGTAACAGACTGAAGATTGGGTGCTTACAGGAGTCAGGATGGTTGATGGTTGTGGGAAGCCAGTGTAGAGAGAAACTTTATCAATTAACAGTCACCTTCTTGGCCTCCTCCGAGGCCTCAGGTATGTGTGGTCCTAACACTTATTTTCTTTCTTCAGGAGTGAAGCTGAGGTGTGGCTGACATTTTTCTCCTGTGTTTTGTTTCAGAGGACTCTGTGTTGACGCTCTCATTGAGCTGTCTGATGAAAATGCTGACTGGAAACTCAGCTTCCAAGAGTTCCTCAAGTGCCTCAATCCGGCCTTCAACCCTCCAGAGAAGAGTATGCTTCACCTGAGAAGCAGAGCGTGAGGGGGAGTGGGAGCATTTTGAGGGACTAAAATTGATGGCCCTCTCCAGAGCTTGCTAAGAAAATTCCCTTCCACAATTCTAGATGGGCTCCAGCCCATCATCTCCATAGTGATGTTCGGGTCCAAAACCTTTGGCTGCTGGTAGCGTTCGCTCAGATATAGTGCCTCTGAGGGACAGGCAGGTCTTGTCTAAGGTGCACAGACTGTAGTCAGGACTCTGTGTTCCACCTTCACCCTAAACTACCGTCCCTTATTTTTTGGTCCCAACAGAGTGTGCCCTGGAGGATGAAATGTACGCCGATGGAGCTGAGACCGAGGTGGACTGTAACCGCTGCGTCTGTGCCTGCGGAAACTGGGTCTGCACAGCCATGACCTGTGACGGTGAGCTGAGCCTCAGGCGGAAGAAGGAACAGCAGGGCAGAGCTCCCTTCATGAAATCACCATGAGAGAAGTCAGGGTGGGGATGATGGAAAAGAAGGTGGTGGTAGCTGGGAGCAAGGAACCTGGGCAGCAAGTGACAGACTCAAACTTGTCATACTGGAGCTCCCAGAAGGCAGCATTAGGGACAAAGCACTTATCCCAGACGCAGAAAGTTTGAAAATCACTCCAGAGGCTTGGGACAAAAGAGGTTCAAGACCCAGGACAAGAACAAATGTTGACATGAGATTGGAATGGTGATGATAATAATAATGAAAGTGAACACTTATTTAGTGAGAACAGTGTTCCAGGCACTTTACATATTAACCGCTTAATCCGTATGATTGCTTAGAAAATCCTATATGTAAAAGATTTGGGTGTTTGGAAGATAAAAGGATTCTCCTCACCACCCATTCTCAGCAGAAAAAAGGAAGAATGTAGACCTTTTGTGAACTAACAGAATTAGATATTTCTTTAAAAAAAAAAAAAGTTGAAGTACTTGAGACGTGGGCAGGGTGACTTGGGGATATAGAGATGTCAGAGAGAGTTTGGGAGGCCAGTGCAGAACCACTAGGGTCCCATTAGGATCTTGGACTACAATGATGCCAAAGATTACAGCCAATCCCTGGGAAAAACTAGGCACCATTCAGAGTGGAGGCAAGACAGACAAGGGTGAAGCCAGGTCACATATGGGAAGAAAGATCAGTTGGAAGGAATCAAGCCCAAAATGTATACCAGATGGAGTGAACCTAAAATTATATCTAAAAAAGCCTATTGAACCCAGCCGATTTGGTTCAGTGGTTGATCATTGGTCTATGAACCAGGAGATCACAATTCTATTCCAGGTGAGGGCACATGTCCAGGATGTGGTCTCAATCCCTAATTTGGGGGTGTGCAGAAGACAGCCCATCAATGATTCTCCCTCATCATTGATGTTTCTATCACTCTCTCCTTTTCCCTTCCTCTCTGAAATCAATAAAGACATATTTAAAAAAAAAAAAAAAAGCAAACAGAGACAAGAAAAAGCAGGCTGGTCCTGGGATCATGTTCAAGGTCAGGTAATCTGGTAGTTGGAGACAGAGGTCACAGACCCAGGCAGAGCTTCTTCTAGGTTAAAAGCCCAGGCACCAATGAAACAAATGGAGCTCAGTACTTCCCAGGGGATCCCTCGTCTCCCACTCCCCAGGAACAAGTCTAATCTCAGAGTGGGAGGGCAGGAAGCCTACCTAACTCCAAAGACAAGTGGAAATGCAGGAAGAGGCTGTTTAGAAGTAAATATGCCTAGAATTTGCTGGAGGCCAAATTAAAGCCATGGTAGCCAGGCCAAGTATACAGGAGCTACTGAAGCTAAGAGAGAACATTTCAAAACAATACCTAGCCTGCCTCAACCAGGAGGCCTCCTGTACTCTACTCGTCTCCCCAAAACTTCCCAAAGTAGTTTTTCACACCTAACTGCTTTTGGCCTGGCTTAGTAAAGGTAGCCATCCTTTTCTAAGATGCAGGCAATTGGTGAACAGCTGGCTTACAATCATCTAGATAATAAGCCTCCACCACATGCATCAGACAGAATCCAAGTGATTGCCCTCCTGGGACCATGCCCATTTCCACAGCAACGGGACTATTTATCCTCTCTGATGGCCCATGTTCAGAGCCCTACATGGTTATGTATAAAGAGCGCTCTCCATGGTCATGCCCATCTTGGTGTGCAGGCCATGGACCTGAGAGGACATTGTAGAGGTGGCATCCAAGGCATTTTCAGGTCAATATCTGAAAGTTAGATCCTAGATCCCAATGGCGTAGAAAGGAAGGGGCACTGAGACTCGAAGCCCGCTGGAGCCAGAGGGAAGTTGCCATGGGGGACAGTGTTATGCTGAAGTCTGGAAGCGGCAACGGATCGGTATTTCCTAACAACAGTGCTGTTCTCGATAAAGGTACAGATTCCTGGGCTCCATCCCAAACCAACTGAATCAGAGTCCACAAAAGAGCAGCTTGGAAACCTGTGTACTTAAGATGTATTCTGTGATTTGATTTGATTTGATTTTTTCACTGTGCAGATTTGGCAGACACTGTAGGGGTGGTGGGGATCAACCCTGGCTGCATATGAGAACCACCTTGAGAGCTTTACAGAACCCTGTGCCCAGGCCCTGCCTCATGACAATTAAATCAGAGTTTCTGGAGGCGCAGTCTGAGCATTTGTATTTGAAATGTTCTCCAGGGCCTGTGAAAAGTAGGGAATCATTGCCCCAGAAGAATTCCTGAGTCAGGGTCCAGATTTTCTCCGTAGTTCTTTCTGCAAGGCCAGCTCCTGGAGTGGATGGACTGGAGCAGCTAAAGTCACTAAGGACAGAGGCCAGAGAAGGAGGCAGTAGGTTGCTTTATTTGCAGTGTGTTAATTTGGAGGTGTCAGAGGAATGTGGATAATTCACCTCTTCTACTGATTAAACGGGAGATGAAATTAAGAACCTGGAAAGTAGATACCAGTGGGACCCGAAACTGGCTTCCCTCAGCTACCTCTGAGCCTTGGTTTTTCTTGCAGGAAAGAATCAGAAGATGGCCCAGACCCAGACAGAGGAGGAGATGACCAGATATGTCCAAGGGCTCCAAAAGCACCAGGTGAGTCGCAGCCTCGGTGCTGACTCGGGTATCTCTGCCGCCACCAGGCCCTTCCACCACGCAGGTGTTGCCTAATGTCCCGGGAGACCAGGAAGGTGCACTCTGTTTAATACAGTAGGTCCTGCATGATACACCTGTAGAATCAAACTGATATCGTTCCCCAATGAGGTCCTTGCAGGGTCCCTCGGGTCCTAGAAGATATAGATTACAACTTGGCACATTGCTTAATAAGTAAGACTCAGCCAGTTGGTGATTTGCAAGTGGTTTGCAAATGAGCATGGGCTAAATAAGTTAATTGTTTCCTGTCACAACCAGTGCCCAGACCCGAAGACCATAGATTCTTAAAGGCGAGGCTCTATAGCTTGCTCATCATGGCAGCCCTGCATTAGCACAGGGCTTGGTATATAGTTGGCTCTCAGTGTGCATGGAATTAGTGGGTTTGGACTGCACCAGAAAGGATTTACGTTAAATGTAAAGCCGGCTAGAAAACAGCCTGGGGGGACAAACACAGGAAACTTTGAGGATCTGCTTCCTGGAGACTTGAGATAAGAATTCTGGTCAGGCCGAAATCAGTTTGGCTCAGTGGATAGAGCGTCGGTCTGCGAACTGAAAGGTCCCAGGTTCGATTCCGGTCAAGGGCATGTACACCGGTGGGGGGTGTGCAGGAGGCAGGTGGTCGATGTTTCTCTCTCATCGATGTTTCTAGCTCTCTATCTCTTCCTCTCTGTAAAAAATCAATTAAAAAAAAAAAAGAATTCTCTTCAGGTTCTATGTCAAGTTGAAGGCCTTTTTGGGTAAAGGGTTCTTAGCAGAATTGTGATACACTGATGTATTTTGCTAAGGACCTAAGGAGAAAACATGGGTATGCTGGACTCCTAGGCCTGTCTTCCACTCATTTACCATAGAATTAACAAAGGATATTGCACCTTAGACCACCTGTCTGTAGACTAAGTCTGGTCATTCAAGCCTTCTCTCTTGTAGAAGTTTGGGTTGTTTTTTTGATTGTTTTTTTGTTTTTATTTTTTATTTTTTAATATATATTTTATTGATTTTTTTACAGAGAGGAAGGGAGAGAGATAGAGAGCTAGAAACGTCTATGAGAGAGAAACATAGATTAACTGCCTCTTGCACACCCCTTCCGGAGATGTGCTCGCAACCAGCATACATGCCCTTGACCGGAATCGAACCTGGGACCTTTCAGTCCGCAGACCGACGCTCTACTGCTGAGCCAAATTGGTTTCGGCTGTTTGTTTGTTTTTAAATGAAACTTGTTTCAGGATCTTTTTTTTTTTAATTTAATATATTTTATTGATTTTCTACAGAGAGGAAGAGAGAGGGAGAGCTGGAAACATCGATGAGAGATAAAGATTAATCAGTTGCCTCCTGCACACACCCCACTGGGATGTGCCAACAACCTAGGTACCTGCCCTTGACCGGGATCGAACCTGGGACCCTTGAGTCCGCAGATTGATGCTCTATCCACTGAGCCAAACCAGTTAGGACTCTCTTGTAGAAGTTTTTAAGGAATATAAATGTCATAAAAGAACTGCTAAACTATTGGGATGAAATATTTGACTTGAAAATAAAGAAGTGTTAATATTAATAGTAATTGTTCATATTTATTGAATTTTATATGCATTTTGTCCTTACCACTAACAGTGTAGAAACCTCATGTCGGTTTTTTAAGCCAATGCAGAATCTCCCATCTTCTATTTTTCCATATTTCAGCAGTCTTGAGTTTCCAGAGGAGTACAAATTCCATAAAAGAAAAAAAGAAGTTCATAGGGATTCCTTGCATTTAGGTTGGAGATATGATCAGGGTAGAGAGTAGGGAGTGAATTAGAATAACTCTCATTTTTAAGTGTCTCTGTCTACGTGAGTTCCCTCAGGAACAGATGCTAAGGCAAGGACTCAAGTACAAATACTTTATTTGGGAGGCAATCCCAGACAACACCAGAAGGGAAGGGGAAGGAAGCAACAGAGTGCATATCCAGCAGCTATCACCGTAGGCAAGTGGAGCTTAATCCTCGTGAGGAATTCTGGTGAGGAACTCTGGGAGCAGCGTTTACCCTCAGGCATGGAAACGCTGCTCCCAGAGTTCCTCTCCAGAATTCCTACCGAACTCCTGTCAGCCACTGGCAAGGTTCCCTCTAGCAAACATTAATTACCTGGCATTTCTGGCCTGCCAACCAGAAAAAGAGGTGCAGGAACTGGCAGTCAGAAGCCATGTCAGTGAACTGAGAGGCTAAAGACTAGGGCTATGGACGGGGCACCAGCAGTGTGTCTGTTAGATACCAGTCACGGTTGTTTTTATTTCCTGTTAAATTTTTTTGTTGAGATATAATTCAGATACAAAATTCACACCTTTAAAGTGTGCAATCCAATGGTTTTTAGTATATTCACAAGACTGTCAGCCGCCATCACCATGAATCCAGAACGTTTTCATCATTCCCAAGGTAAACCTCATACCCATTAGAAGTCACTCTACATTTGCTCTTCCCTGGCAGTCATTAACCTGTTTTATAACTATAGATTTTCCTGTTCTGGATATATGTAAATGGAATTATACAAAACACAGTGTTTTCTATTTGTCTTTTTTCATTTAGCATAATGTTTTCAAGGTTTATCCGTATAGCATGAATCAGTGCTTCATTCTTTTATTTTATTAAGGATTTTTCAATTACTGTTGAAATACATGCTTTATTCTTTTTTATGTCTAAGAGGCCTGGTGCACAGATTGAAAGGAAATTAATTAGAAGGTGGCCAGAGGGGCGGGACTAGGCTAGCTGGGCCGGCAGGTCAGCTGGTTGCTTATGCTTTTTACATGTATAGATAACATTCCATGATATGAATATACCACATATTGTGTATTCACTCATAGGCTGGTGTATATTTAGGTTTTTGCTTTTTTGCTAGGATGAATAATGCTGTTATGAACATTCTTATAAAAGTTTTGTGTTTTAGTTCTCTTGTGTATATAGTTAGAAATGGACTTGCAGGATCATATGGTAATCCTGTTAATCTTTTGAGGAATACCAGGCTGTTTCATTTTCTTCACAAATTTGCCAACATTTGTCATTGTTTTTTATTTTTATTTTATTTGTTATTTTAGTCATCCCTGTGTAGTGGCATCTCACTGTAATTTTTTGATTTGCATTTCCCTAATGATTAACTGTCTCCTCATGTACTTATTGGCTATAAGAAAAATGTCTCCTTTGAAGAAATGTATCCTTGCTGCGGGGGGGCTGTTTCTCTGTTTTCCGAGCCCATCGTGGAAAACGACAGGTTCCTGAGTGGAGGAGCTGGGGATTAAGAGACCAGGAGCAGAAATAGATTCATCAAACTGGGCGCTAGATGGGCGCCATCTCTCTGATGGAGAGGCAGCAAGCGACCCCTCAAGCCACGCAGGTTTATTTATAGGGTCAAAGGAGCTTATTTGCATTCTTAACTATGCCCTAGCATTACTGGATTTACATATCTAGACCCACCCGCCCCAGCTGACACCTGGACAAAGGTACTTTGCCAGTGCCTCAGGCTCAGCTAACAATTTAAAGAATGTCCATGTGCCTTCTCAGGCGGCCCTCTACACCTCGCTGTAAGAGATGGTACTTTATTACTCTTTGTTTTTGTAGTTGAAGATGTTGAGGCATGGAAAGCTTCAGAGTATGCTCCAAATCTCCCAGAAAGTAGCACAGCCCCGATTGAAGCCCAGATATTGTGCCTCCAGGGCCTGTCACTCTTCACACCTCTCAGGACTTGGACTCAGGACATCTTGTAGCACTTCCATTTGGTAGTCTTCTCTTCGTCTTTAAGACTGGCATCATAATGTCTGACCCGATTGTTTCAGAGGAATTCAAATAGGGACAGCTCTTAATTCCGTGGCAGCCCCTACATGACCATATTGTGAATAAAACACACTTCTTGACCTCAAGTTGTTTGCCATCCATGCAGGAGACAGTCAAGTAACCAAAACTAAAATTCTGCATAAGCATGTAATTGTCAATGCTAGATAAAGAACTGAGGACGAGATCAATGCCACTTATTTTTTTAAAATATTATTTATTTTTTCTCTTGCTTCTCAAAGGAAACAGCTGAGAAGATCAAGAGAGTGAGCACCAAAGAGATCTAGGGAGGAGGCACCTGGGAAGGGTGTCCAGAGCCCGGCACCTTCTCCTCCACTTCAGCGTGGAGTTCAGTATGCACAAGTGTCTGCTGCAATCGCCAAATCACCAGTATTTGCTTGTATAGCAACAAGTTTTATTTCGTCTGTTTGTTTTGCAATAAAGGAAACGGGGGTGGCTGGCTAGGAGGGGAAGGGCCATAGCCTTCATTTCTAGGAGTGATTTAAGAGAAACGGTATAAAGGGGGTTCGAGGCTGGGGGCAAGTAAGGAAACTGCATCAGGGTTGGGAGAAGAGGGTGTCCAGATCGGAACCACTTCTGAGTCTACTACAGCTATAAACACGCTGCAGGGAGGCAAGCAGCGCCAGAGAGAACTTAGCAGACTACCCCTAGAGGAGAGACTCGGGAAGCTTAGTGGAGAGGAACGCATTCTGCTTCCAGCCCTTTCCAGTTGGCATAAGACTCCAGTGTCTGCTTCTCATGGCCCCAACCACTGCCTCTAGATGCATAGCCTTTTGGCTAGTTACCCAGCATCCCTCAGACTTGATGGGGTTTATGGGAGGGTGCAACCAAATGGTGCAGATACTTGTTGACATTCAGCCACTTAGAGACTCAACCAAATTTTAAAAATACTTTTTACCAAAGGTGCTATTTTTCTGTAAAGCTTTTTTTGGCACGTTGACTTCATTTTTCAGTTATTATCATTATATTATTGTTGTTCTTTTATAGTTTGTTTTCTTGACTAGAAATTAAGCTTTTGTCATTATTTTCCAGTAGTCCTACCATTTCAGAGGTGGGGGAGTTTGGGTTCTTTCTGGTGCAGGGACTGCTCTAACCCAGACTTCCCACCCTGCCGCATACCAGCTGCAGCCTAGAGACCACCTCCTGGCTCCCAGTGGGTCAGCCGCCTGCCCCAGGAGCAGTGGGCACCTCAGCCAGAAGCCAGGGGAAGAGAAGTGTCTCCATACATGCTTTCAAGATCCAGCAGCTAATTAGTTTTCAGTTATTCTAAGTTCATGCAAATCAGTATTTCAAAGGATGGAGACATGTGCAGCCTAAGCAAGGCTTAGATATCCCAGCTTATCAATATGTTCGTTGATCCACCACTAACTAGGATCCACCCTGGCTCTTCCTATTTCTGGGCCTCAGTTTCCTCAGTGAGCAGGTAGGAATGCATTAACCTTTCGATTTCATACGTTGTAAAGTCTGTGGTTCTAGTCATTGGCCGGAGGAGACAGGTTCCTGTGATTTTCCTTCTTCTTAGGAACAATGAAACTTATTGTTCTAAGAAGAAGATTCAGGAAATCAACAAGCTGACCAAGTTTGGCCTCAGTGAATGGGCCCATAGGTTGTGCTGAGTGTGACCCAGAGCCCTCTGGGGTAAACCCTGCCCTGGGAAGGAGTGGGAAGAGACCCCGGGCCCTTGGTCTTCACTTTTGCATTTCCTCTTGAACCTTCTTGGAAACAGTCATGACTTTCCATTTAGAGATGAGGACCAAAGAAAGTTTCAAGAGAGGAAGAGTGGAAATTTAATGTTAACATTGTTATTGTTGGGCAGTCAGTCTCTCCTGTCTCCTTTGGCCTGTGTCCTTATCAACTCCACTTGGTATTTGGAATAACAAAGATTTAAAACTTGACATAAAATCTCATTTTCAGACAATAAGAGGGAAATTACGTAGATAGTACTGCACAGGCAACGCTGAGGAAGTTGTACTAAAAATGGAATTTCTTCTAAACAATGCCCTTATGCCCCTTTGAAAGGAGAACATTCCACTTTGTTTCAAATTCTGAGCATTTATCTACATCCCACTTAAACGTTTTTTCGGAACCCCACCTGTGTGGTCTGACAGGCTCCTCCCTGCCCGCGTGCTCTGGAGAACCAGCAGCACCGCTTGGTCACTATGGCAATGAGAGCAGGAATACCAGTTTGTTTAAAGCAAGAAACCAGAGTATCTTCTCACCTGTTACATTCAGGACAATGGTTGCCATCCGAGACTTAACCTACCCTACAACACCAAATTCCTCAGAGCAATCTGCATTCCTCCTGTAAACAGGGAAGCTTATTATCTGCACCCCAGAATCGGGTGATCCGATGACCATTCATGGAAAGCTGCTAAGTAGCCTAGTTTGGGGAGTCGTACACGGAGCAAATAAACAGGATTAAATTGGGTTCAGTTCCTCCAGCTCTCTGAAAGCACAAGGCTTAGTCTGCAAACTTCCTTGGGCTTTCTCTGTGTGTATACTGTTTTATAAACATAATAATTACAGCATCTGTTATTATAGACATGTACTCCTCATGTACTCCCCACCTGTGTCCATGGAGACCTCACAGGCCATGAATCTGGACTCCATCACTGGTTTTGGAAAGCAGGGCTCCTCCACCTGCCTGTACGTCCATGTGAACCAGTCTGAATGTCTTTCCTTTACACTTCTGTTTTTAAATAGTCAAATTTCAAGAAGCAATTTAAACAGATTTCTGTTGCCTATGTGTTTGTGAAATGTATTCATATTTAGTATGCTTCCATATTGCATTTAACTTGTTTTTGTAACTCCTGATTTTTTTTTTGGATATTCTTGATAAATAAAGAAATTAAAATAACAGTCGTATTGGTTTCCTTTCTTCCCCGCACCACTCTAATTAGCATATTATGTTTTTATTATTATAGATGATCAAGTGTGATACATTCCAGGAATACACGGTGTCAGTTCAATATATAAAAATCAGTGTGCTATACCATATTAATAAATGGCAAAGACAGCACAATTATTTCAATAGATTCAGAAAAAGTATTTGGCAAAACCCTAAATTCGTTCATGATAATAACACTCAGCGAACTACCCTGTCTCCCCAAAAATAAGACAGTGTCTTATATTAATGTTTGCTCCCAAAGATGCGCTAGGTCTTATTTTCAGGGGATGTCTTATTTTTCCATGAAGAAGAACATGGTACACATTTATCGTTAAATGAAAATAAAGGAAATTTATTACCTATACGATACAGTAGTACAGTAGTTGTCAACACAAACCAGACAAACTGAATCCTACAGTATCAAAAATTTACTCATTTATTCAATGACAATCATGTCATTATCTTCTGGAACATCATCATAACAATCCAATTCCTGAATTTCCTGGTGAATTTCTTGTGACTCCATTTCTTTCAGAATCAGTGGACTAAATCTCTCATGTTTAGCAATAGCACTGTCTTTAAATGAGTACTTCTTGTCAAGGTAGCCTGCTCGCAGTGCATTTGCAATGCAACTGTCAGTGATTTTCTCCCATGAATTCTTCACCTAAGTCACAACTTCATGCAGTTTAGATTTCACAAAGTTTCCATGCTGATTTCTCTCCATTCTATTTTCAATGTAGTCATTAATTTCCATGCGCAAATTGTTTTTGAATGGCTTGTTTATTGCAATATCAAGAGTCTGGAGATAGGCCTTATTTTCGGGGGGATGCCTTATATTTCACTCAGAAGGAAACCTGTAAGGTCTTATTTTCAAAGGATTTTTATTTTCGGGGAAACACGGTAGCAATAGAAGACAATATTTTCAACCTGCTAAAGTCCATCTACAATAAACTCACAGCTAACCTCATACTTAACAGTGAAAGACTAAATGTTTTGTCCTTAAGATCAGGAACAAAACAAGAATGTTTAACCTCACATCTTCTCTTAGCATTGAACTAGAGTTTCTTCTAATCAGGGCAGTTAATCATGAAAATGAAATATAAGTAATCAAGATAGGAAAGGAAGAAGTAAAACTGTCTTTCATAGATAACATGATCTTGATATGGAAAATACTAAAGATTCTAAATACTAAATACTAAAACACTATTACAATTAACAAATTTAACAAGGTTGCAAGATACAAAATCAGTGTACAAAAAACCAATTGTATTTCTTTATACTAGCTAAAAACATTTCAAAAATAAAATTGAGCAAACAATTTTATCTACAAGGCATAAGAAGAATAAAATACTTAAGAATAAATTTAACAAAATAAGTAGACTTATACATTGAAACCTACAAAACATCAGTGAAAGAAATTAAAGAAGCCCTAAATAAATGGAAAGACATACCTAGATTGGAAGACAATATTGTGAACTACAATGTTAACAATATTGATCTATAAATTGAACACACTCCATATCAAAATCCCATGTGCCTTTTTGAAGAAATTGATAAGCTGATCCTAAAGTTTATATGGAAATATCAAAACAAAAATAGCCAAAACAATCCTGAAATAAAAGAATAAAGCTGGAGGATCCACACTTCCCTGTATCAAAACTTACTAAAAAGCTACAGTAATCAAGACAGTGTAGTACTGGCACAAGGTTAAATAGTTCAAAGGAATGTAATTGAGAGTCCAGAAATAAACCCTACATTTATAGTCAGTTTTTTTGTTTTTGTTTTTGTTTTTTTTGTTTTTAGAAGGATGTCAAGAGAATTCGATGAGGAAAGAATAGTCTTTTCAATAAGTGATCCTGAGAAGACTGAATATCTATTCACAAAAGAATGACATTGGACCCCTATCTCATATCAGATACAAAGACTCACTTAAAATGAATCATAGACCTGAATGTAGGAGCTAAAATCATAAAACTCTTAGAAGAAAATATAAGAGTAAATATTTTTTGTCTTGGATTAGGCAAATAAAAAACTTTTCTGCTTCAAAAGACATCATCAAGAAGTGAAAATATTACCCACAGGAGAGAGAGTATATTAGATAAGGTACTGGAATCCAAAATATATAAAGTCTTGTAACTCAGTAATAAAGAAAAAATAGAAAGCCTACTATTTTAAATGTGAAAATGATTTAAATGAATATTTTCCCAAAGAAGATATACAAATCACTAATAAGCACATAGAAAGAAGCTCAACACTATTAAGCCATCAGGAAAATGCAAATCAAAACCACATCCAGGGAGATCCAAGATGGCTGCACCCAGATAAACACCTAGCTGCAGCCGCACACAACAATTTCAATAAAATACAACTAAAATATAA